TTTAAAATTTGAATAGCATGACCAAATTGTCGGGCTGGTTCGCCACTGCTTGTGTGGACGTAAACGTTTACATATTGTGTGGACTTCATATTTCATGTTAGTGATGTTACTCTGAGTGCATATCTACACCGAGCGAGCTTGAAAAATATGCTAGCCACGGTGGGAATCGACGACCTTTGGAATACTAGCCCAATGCTCTGCCAACTGAGCTACGCGGTCAGGTCGGTTCGAGTAAGTGATATTTCAGAACAGAATCGAGTTCCTTCAATACCATATTACTAGATTACATTCGTATCGAAGGAACTAGATTCTGTTCCGAAATATTACTTACTCGAACCGACCTGACCTCGTAGCCCAGTTAGCAGAGCATTAGGCTAGTATTTCAAAGGTCGTAGGTTCGATTCCCACCGTTGTGGGCATATTTTTCAAGCTCGCTCGGTGTAGATATACACTCAGAAACATCACAAACATCATATTCACCTGAGTACACAACACCAACACAGAAATATTAATATTTCAGTTGATATTTTTTGTAGGCGTAAAGTTGATAGTTTGTGTTGACGTAAACGTTTAGTGTGTTGTAAACGTAAACGTTTAGACCCCGTTTACACAAACTGTACCGTTTTCGTTTCTCATATTGTTCGGTATGGTCAGCCTTTTGTTTTCTTTCCTTCAGAGAATTGAGAATGTTACAAAGAGCATGCGCATTAAAGAACTCGTGAACATCCCACAATCATTAGTGTAAAGTTAGTCATGTAAATATGTAGATATGTGTGAATAAATAATTGTATTTTTGTGTGACTTAAATCGTGGTAACAAATGGTCCTTCGAACCGGATTCGAATCTCTTTGGTAGTGCAAGAATTATGTCTCGAGGGAGTGCCGAGGAGGCGCAAGTGGTCTCTGGAGACCAGACAACTGGAACTGCTGATGATGAGATGCCGAATAAAGAAGAGCTCGAGATAGCTTGGCATATTGCTAGTCGCAAAACAAGCAAGAGCAAATTTACGAAGATCAGAAATCGAATTCTTTCGTTAGTGGAAGATGCCTCCGCTTCGTGTCGTGAGGTAGAACAGTTTTTCGCCGAGTTAAAAGAATTAGAAGCGAAGCTAGAAGAGACATGCGAGAAGTTACGGTATTTGTTTACAGTACTTAAAGCAGACGCTCGTGTGACTCAATTAGACCAGTGGCTAGACAAGTTATTTGACGAAGCTGTGGAGGTTAAATCAGCTGTAGCTCGATACTTAGACAATCGCTCTAGCAGTAGAAATTCGTCTGTAAGATCTAGCAAGAAAAGCGCCGCTGTAAAAAGCAAGATTTCGAAGTCTACAGATAAACAACAATCTGGTAATTTATTCGAAACAATGAAGCATGAAATGCCTGAATTTGAAAGACCGACAATGAATATAGATTCAATTGCCCATCACAGAGATATAGCTAACTTAAAAGCTACTTCTAAGCGTGTTATTCACGGACAGCAAGGATTTCAAGACGAAGAGAACAGCGAAAAAGTTATGACAAATAAGACGGCAGCCTCAGGGAAAAGTAAACCAGACAATTATCGTGATACGGTTGACTGGGTTGAATCACAGCAAAATATTCGTGCAACAACAAATGAAAGGTCACAACTTAATTCAAACTCGGACAGTGTAGAGAAAGAAATACGTCAGTTAGAAGAAGAAATTAAAACTATTAGGGCTGCACGACAAGCGGTCAGTGATCTTCAAATGCCTGTAATGACAAATAGACAAACAAACGTACCCTTACGTGACCACGATATGGTTCAACAATCAAGTCAACCGAGAAGGGAAGCCGAAAACAATCTGGAATTATGGCGAGCTCTCAGAGACCAACGCGAGCGGCAAACATCTATGAGAACAAATCAGCGAATAAATACGCCTTTAACTGGTCCCGCAAAGGTCGAACTATCTAGATCTACACGGGCGGATGAGGGGAATAGTAACAAGTTATCAAACCATTTAGAACGAATTCATCTACCAACATTTTCTGGCGATAAAACCAAGTTTGAAGAATGGAAAGCTCGATTTACCGTGTGTGTTGATAAAACTGACGCTTCAACAATGCATAAGTTAATCCGTCTGCGGTCGCTTTTACGAGGGGAAGCGGAAGAACTTCTCGAAGGTCTTGGCTGGGAAAGCAGCGATTATTATAGCGCGTGGAAAATTCTTGAAGATGAATATGGAGGAGATGAGCGGTTTATTAACCGTCAAATGGATCTTATACGCGACGTAAAACAAGTAAAGACTGTAGAAGATATTCGACAATTTTCTCGGCGTCTAAACACATGCGTAGTTACATTAAAGAATCGTCGACGGTATGACGAGTTGGAAGCCGGTATGTTGTATAGTGTGGTTAAGTCGAAATTATCTCCAAGACTACTGGAAACATACTATACGTGGCTTGATTACCAACATCGTAGATCTACTTTGGAAGCCCTACGAGATTGGCTGTTGGTCTATTCGAGACATAAAGTGCAAGCCCAAGAAGATGTTGAGGGTGTTCTAAAGAATGATCAAGAAAGAAGACCGAATCGTCGCAATAACACATACGCGTCAGCGCAGAACAACAGAAAAACGACGTCTATTTGTTTCAAATGTAACAAGAAACATTATATTTCGAACTGTTATCGGTTCAAGTCGATGTCCCTAAAAGCACGTTGGGAATTTGTTCGAGAAAAGAAGTTATGTTTTAAATGCTTGAACTCGGGTCATCAAAGTGTAAAATGCGATAAAGATGAGACGTGTCCAATTTCGGAATGTCACAGTCGACATCACCCATTGCTCCACCGACATCAGCCCAAAGCGAGTGGAAAGGATAATGTTGAACAGTCAACTACCACCGAGCAACAAAATGAGGAACAGAGACAAATTCAGAATGATCTAAGCAACGCCAATCTACCCCCTCCACAAGAATCCACTCCATCCACGTCAATGAGTAATCATGTAACCGATAACGGGTCACAATTTATAGCACTTAGAACAGTTCCTGTCGTTCTGGTTAATGGCAATCAACGCATTGTAGCCAATGCCTTCCTTGACGAAGGAAGTACCGCTTCGTATGTTCGAGAAGATATTGCTCATAAACTTAAATTGCAAGGAACACCTGAACAACTTCACGTTTCTACCTTAACCGGAAAGACGACGTTCAATAGCACCCGTGTTCAAATCAATGTGGAAACTGGAAAGTTTTGATAGCAGATTCAGTGGTCGAGTTGATGCTTGGACCAAGGATACTGTAACTCCAGGACTTGATGTGATTGATTGGAACAAACAAAAGAGTGAATGGCCCCACCTTCGTCACCTTGAATTTCCCCATGTTCCACGCAACAGAGTCGTTGACATCCTGATTGGAATCAACGCTATTGAATTTCACTCACCTCTTGAAGGAATTCCTGGTTTACAGGGTGAACCGGTCGCTCGAAGAACACCCTTGGGTTGGACGTGCGTTGGACCCTGTCAGAGAAACATTGCTCTATCTGAAGTACGTTCTCATTGTGCTTTTCACATTGCGATGAAAGAAGATGAAGGGGATAATTTGGACTGTACCCTACAGCGCTTTTGGGACCTCGAATCTATCGGCTTAGTACCAGGAAAAGAAGAGACATCCACTCCAGACGATTTGGAAGCTGAGAAGAAAGTTGCGAATTCCTTACGTTATGTCAACGGCCGCTACGAGGTAGGAATACCATGGAAGAAGAACGAACCACAGTTGGAAAATAATTACAACTTGGCTTATAAGCGTCTGGAAACACTCGAACAGTCTTTAAAACGACGTCCGAATGTCGCCGAGAGTTACCAGAAAGTAAATGAAGATCATTTGTCCAAAGGGTATATTCGGAAACTTACCCGACAAGAAAAGCAACGACCAAAGTGGTACCTTCCACATTTTCCTGTGGTGCGCAACGATAGATCAACGACGAAAGTCAGAATAGTCTTTGGCGCAGCGTGTAGTTTTCAAGGGAAAAGCCTGAATGATTCTATGCACACTGGTCCTAAGCTACAGAAGGAAGTTTTGGACGTACTTCTACGTTTTCGCCGCGACAGGAGTGCCTTATCGGGTGATATTAGCGAGATGTTTCTGCAAGTTATCATGGCAGAAAGTGATCGTCCATATCATTCTTTCTTGTGGCGTGACCTGAAAAGCGGAACTCCTGATGTTTATGAATTTCAACGATTGGTGTTTGGAGATAAAGCGTCCCCCTACTTGGCTCAAGCTGTGTGTCGAGAACATGCGAAGAGAAATGCAAATGAATACCCGGATGCTGCGAGGACAGTCTTGGATTCAATGTATATGGATGACACCTTGGATTCAGTCTCGAACGTAGCAGAAGTAATTAATCTTCGACGTAATTTAACGGCAATGATGGCTCAAGCTGGAATGAAAATTAGAAAATGGTGCAGCAACGAAGCAGCCGTGATGGTGGACGTCTCTCCTTTGGATCGTGCTCAAGGAAGTATAGAGATACGAGACAAAACTTTGCCAACAATCAAAACTCTGGGAGTTATGTGGGAAGCTAGCAATGACTTGTTAACTTTTCAATACGCAGCACCACCTATACCTGATCAATTAAAGAAGAGAGTCGTAACAAGTTTTGGCGCAGATGGCTTCCAGAGTTTCTACCTGCTGTGAACTCACGAAAAAAGTGGACAGAAGAAAAGAAGGATATTGAAGTTGGAAACATTGTTATTTGTATTGATCCAAATCTCCCTCGGGGAACTTGGCCTCTTGGCCGTGTAGAAGAAGTCTTCATTGGACCAGATAAACACGTTCGCACTGCGCGAATTAAAATTGGACAAAACAGTATGTACGACCAATAACACGGTTGTGCCCATTAGAAATTGCATGAGAAAATGATTTAAATTTAGTGAAGGATTTTTGTCATTGTTACAAAGAGCATGCGCATTAAGGAACTTATGAACATCCCACAATCATTAGTGTAAAGTTAGTCATGTAAATATGTAGATATGTGTGAATAAATAATTGTATTTTTGTGTGACTTAAATCGTGGTAACACATTATTTTAGATTAAAGTTTAGACCTTGGAATCCTAGTGAAAGATACAGGCGTAAAATTGCGCAAGAAACTGTTTGTTGTTGTTAATAACCTCTGGTAATCTAATTAACAAAACTTACTTTGATTGGCTACTATTTACCGGATATTCAATTATCTCAAAGGGGGCGTATTGAGAAAATATCAATAAAAGTCGCAGGCTCTATATATAGGCTAGGTGCATCGGGGTGCAATGCGACTCAATGGGTTAATAATGTCTGTTCCCTCGGGGAAATAGTTTTGTTTCCCTCGAATCTCAATTTATGTTTGAGACTCTCGGGAAAGCAAAACAAACTATTTCCCTCGGGAGCAGATATTAAGTGTATATTATTACTAACATCAAATGTTGTCTGTACATAAGTCCCTCCCTCCCCGTAATTAAGCCCTCCCATGGGTAAACAGTACTTTTGGCTTCATCCGTTGTCCTTGTTTAATAAAATTGACTTAAAATTGTTACAACACCAAGTAATGATAAATTATTGTTAATAATTTTTTTATTTTTTTTGTGCATTTTTTCCTTCTTTTATTTCAAAAACAAAGTGTAGTAATAGCATAAATTTTAGAGAAAATTTGGATGCTCAGAATATATGTCGGCCACACACATGGCCTTTGGCCATTGCTATCCCCCTCTAATATACTGTATTATCTCACAGAAAGGTCCCTTTTAAAAAAATGAGCCCCCCCCCCCCCTCACACACACACACACAGAAAAATCCTTAAAAAAATATACAGGCTAGCATGCACCTACATCCAACTGCAAGTACTTGTGCACCATGTTGTCAGGTTTGTAAACACAATATTGTCAATGTCCCCCCACCCACCTACAGGTGAATAACCACCCCCCACCCTCCCTGCCAGACCAAACCAATGGCACAGAATAAGGCACACAGAAGGGCCACTTACGTCGGAAGCTTTGAAGTTTCTGTCACCCTGGCCGCCATCTTCCTAGCCAGTCGATTACATTTTCTGGCCAATGAACGTGCTGTATTGGCTGGCCGCCATCTTCCTAGCCAGTCAATTGCATGTTTTTGCATAGAAAAATGGGGACACGTTGCACCGCTGAGTGGCCCTTCTGGTACTGATCTTTATTCTGTGCCAATGGCCGTATTATACATGATAGCATACAGATAATATATAGCCTCTCTCGCAGCCGCCAGTTGTGTACGTTCTAACAGATATAAAAAATTGAAATATACCCATTGCCTTGATTCACATCAACAGTTGAACGAACAGGCATCACCACTCCACTATCGTCATGCTTAGAAAAATTAGCAAGACACTTTTCTATGATTGGTATCAGGTCATCATATTTCAGCAATTTCTGTACGTCTTCTGCTGAAATTGAAGTAGCCATTTGTTGTGTATATTAAAGATCACTATTAAACTTTCAAAATATATTATTATTCAGTTCTATCTGGTGGTACTATTTAATAGAATATTTCAAAGTAATTGCGCAACAATGCAACATGCGCTCTTTTGGCCGTAATATAATTTTTTTATTTGGTGTTTCCACAAAACAAAAATATCGAATATATTTTTTAATTAATATCCATGTATCAAGCCCTTTGAAAGTATTTTACGAAACATCACAAAAACAAATAAAAGGAAAATCTAAAATCTGAGGAAAATGATAAAACGATATTATTAATACTCAATAAGTTCTGAAAATCCCGACATCTTCTTGGAAACTGATCAAGGTCATCAAGGACATCAAGCATTTTCCTCAAAGCTGTAACGTGAGCCTGTCGTGCGACATGTCAGAGGTTGCACTATTTGGTTTTGGAAATTTTTTGTAAAATTGAAAAACCAAAATAGAGTCATATGATAGAGTCAATAGACATCAACAAACAAATAAACAATAGAAAACATCACGAATCAGAGTGAAAGAGAACGTAAATTATATTTTTGATTTAAGCTGACTTTCCGTAGAATAGATATGATATTTTGAAGTTTTGACTGATGGAAAACTACACAAGATTGAACAGTAGGCCAGTTGTTGAAGATCCAAAGGAACCATGGGATATTTATGTTGGAAATGGAAGCAAAGTGAAAGCTGTCATCAGCAAGGCATTGAAAATACTTGAGGTATATATATAATTTGATGAATTTTTTTATGACAAATATTAGTATAGCTTGTTCCACGATTTCTGTGACCCGGCCATGTCGGCCACTCCCTATCTTAATTATCATGGACAAGTTAATACAGAGGTTTATGCTATGGGTATACATGAGCAATATTTTTCTGGAGACGTCAACACAATGGTGGTAAAATGGTTGTATTGTCGTCGCAAGAGAGAAACTGCTTGTATCATATGCTCTGCAATGGCAACGCAACTTTAGCCTCTGCGCAATCATTGCCGAAAATTGGTATAAGGTTGATGATTTACACGTTTCTTGACCAGCGAATGAAAAGCATTATAAAGAGATATAATGCAGTTGAAATATTGCAGGTGTAGCCACCTTGTGCGACAGCAGCATAATTATAACACATGCATACTGTGTTATTAACCATTGTGTAACCATCACAGCAAAAATATTGCTTGTGTATCTGGAGCTTTACGGTATTCATTGACATCATACACGCAGTGATGTCAAGTAACAAAGTAAGTGTACTTTGTTACTGTACTTGAGTACTATTTTGAAGAAGTTGACATGTAATGTTCAAAGTAAACTTTTTCTGGAGTACTTTTACTTGGAACAAAGTCGTTTTAAGAAGTAACGTTGTACTTCATTATTTTCATTTTGTGGAGAAATATTTCGTTACTTTCTACAGTAACTTTTGTTTAATTTTACATGATTTATTCCAGATTCAATTTAAATTTGGGATAGGTAATAGGACCTCTTCATTGGTCTGGGATCTCTTGTTTGTGGCTTACTTATAAGGCAGTATTATTTCTTTAATTAATGGATTTCTTATATCTTCACACAAAGTCTGGAAAGTAGACCATGCTGTGAAATATAATAATTTTATATTAGGTGCACGCACATATAATGAATGCATGCATGTGCTTTTTTGTTTCTGTTGTATGCCAATCGTCCATTGGAGAAGTCGATCCTCCCCCCCCCCACATGCTACAGACAATATATAGTACTTTACTTTTTACTTCAAGTATTTTTTAAGGATACTGAACTTTGTACTTTTTACTTGAGTATGTTTTGCCTCCAGTACTCTAGGGGTGCACCGGAACTCGGTTCCGGCCGGTTAGTTCCGGCCGGAACCCCGATTTTTTAGAGTTCCGGTTCCGGCCGGAACTAGTAAAAAAGCATGGCCGGAACCGGAACTCTGTTGTTTTCAGAGAGATAGAATATCAAACGTTTTTGTATCTAACAAAAGGTCACAGTAGAAAGAAATTTGGACTACGCAAGGGAAATGTACACTACTAACACTTCATTATGACGTTTAACGCTTGTCAATCTTTTTATTCTAACATTTGCGAGCTCTCTCCTTTATGACTTGAAGTATCTGCCTGTCTGGCAGCGGACAAAGTAACATATGACTATATATGGCTTAATAAATTAGTTCCGGTTCCGGCCGGAAGTTCCGGCCGGAACTTTTTTCCAGTTCCGGTCGGATCCAGTTCCGGCCGGAACTTAAAAAACTGGTTCCGGTGCACCCCTACAGTACTCTTTACTCTTACTCAAGTCGTTTTATTGTTAATTACTTCTACTTTTACTTGAGTACAAATTCAAAGTAATTTAGGCACCACTGATTGACATCCACTAGACTCAAACACTGTGAAGCACATATCCTCCAGATTAGAAGCTTTATTACATGCACACAGAAGATTAATTTTATTTCACCATTGCCTTTATATGTACTGCACTGACATTCTTTTCTGGGACATTGGACTTGCTTTCAAACATGTTTAAGATCATATTAATATACTACATGGGATATAGTTATATTTTTATTAACTTTGTACCTTGCAGATGTTAAGCTTAACATATTCCGAACAGATTTGTAGAAGGGTGCATGGTGTAATTGTTATTAATGCATGGTTATTATTGTATGTATATAGGAGAGTGGTGAGAAAGTGGTGCTAATAGGTTTCGGTCCTACATTAAACAAAACTATAACATGTGTGGAGATAATAAAGAGAAAGAAGCAGGTAATATTGCTGTATAAATATGACATCAATTTTACAGCATCAATGATAATTGACAATATTTAACTATTAATTATCTTGTGTTTCTCGACCGCCAGATATACATTTAAAAAGGTTGCTAACTGAGTGAGTGTGTAAACTACAATGAAAATAAAGCTAAAACAAAATAATTTTGAGAGGAACACCAAAAAGATTTTAGGTTTTGAACACTTTTCATCGCAAATAAATATGCCACATTGAGAAAAAATGCCTCTTAGGGACCGGTCATAAAGTATTTACTAGGGGGTGTGGAGGATATTTTGGGGGGGGAGGGTACGAAAAAAATCCAGAACCTCTGAGGGGGGTACGAGAAAAATAACAGAACCTCTAGGGGGGTACCAAAATCTTAGTACTATATAGTAACGTGAAAAAATTACGTTTTATAATTAGTGTTGAATATTGAATGTATATTTGTGCCCAGATTTTTAAATATGATAACGAGTGTCAGTATTTGTAGCAGCCATGCTTTTGTTTTTCTAAAGCTTTTAATGTATCCTATAAATTAAATGTAATCTGAGAGCAGTTAATAACTTAAACATTTATAGTGATTAGGGTATAGTACTATAGGTACAGCAATTTCAAAGAGTCTCAGTCTCTACATTCATCGTTATTATAGTTCTTTTTTTGCTATAATTATTATTAAATCAACACAAAGTATATATGTTTCAATGTCAGATATGATAAGTAGGATTCAGTATCCGTGGAACTTTTGGAGTACAAATCTGATACATCTGAATTGTCAATGCTAGCAAGCTCACACCATTAGGAACCTAATGAGAAAGTGTCACATTGAATGGAAGCACATTTTTTCTGTTTGAAATAAACCAAAAACAGATTTTTATGTTTGTTCTTACCCTCAGCCCATAATGCTAAGTCTATGTCAGAATCAGAAACAGAAAAGCCTGTGGTGATGAATTGGAGACTGTGGAAAATGTTGAGGATATGGTTACCACTACAAGAAGTGAGAGAGTTATCACAAACTGGAGAGTTTCGAAATATAGATAAATGCAAGACAAATGTTAAAACAGAATTAATGATAGAAGGGGGGGATGAAAATTTTCACTTACACTGAAGAGGGTTACGAAAATTTCTCCATAGGTTTTTGGGAGGGTATGGAAATATGTACTAGTCTTGAAATTTTATTTATCGTCCACCTCCCTCTAGTAATTACTTTATGACAATTAGTCCCTTAATACCTACTGTATGTGGTCACTTTTGTGTCACTGACTGTATGTCTCTAAATGTACCCTTGGGGACTGTTTTGTGCCCCTAACCCTAGATTTTTAGCTTTTGCGCACCCCCAAGATCTTGTTGAAAACTGCCCAATTCTGCTGTTTGATAATTAAATCCACCATTTTGTATTCAGGAATGTTGCAGCTAGAGCCAGAGATAATGCATGTTCACACTATCCGGAAAAAAGTGCAATCAAAATGAAATTTGATCGTAGATTTATAAAGTTTTTCAATGTCATTTATAGAGCATTTATTGACTCAATAAACACATGTAATGTAATACTTTATGCCAAACACTACAGTGTGGTGAAAGTTCTTTTAGTTTTGACAACTGCAGTTCACTCTCAGATACAAACACGCCGAGCATTGAAGGGTAATTAATGCAAGCAAAAATACATAATTGCCATTTTGTGATTGTCAATTCCGACAATGGAATGTTTCTCTTAATTGCCATATCAAAACACTGTATTAATTGTTTCTCTTAATTGCCATAGCAAAACATTATACAGATATTGAATTAATTTTCTTTAACTTTTGCAGGATCTTCATCAGAATAACAAGCTCTTTTACAAAAAGTAAGATTTCTGAACCCACCATATAGATAGTGTTTTTCTGAGAATTAAGTATTTTTCTCAGGGCAACATGTAAATGTAACACAAACCTTTATGTTGTGGTTAATATGCACTATAAACACTACAAATGTGTAAATTTGTCAGTTAAGCTAGATTATAAATTTATAATATGTGGTGTTTTATTATTTTGCTTTAATTAAAATAATCTTTTATTTTAGCCACCCCTAGGCATGCATTTTACACCTCTGACCCTGACCATTTCGAATACAAGTTATTGTATGTACTGTATTTTACATAATTAATTCCTATGCAAGTTTTCTTTTTATATAGAATGGAAGATACTTGGGTGCCAAATCAAGAGGGTTTGGATAGGTATTGATTAAACAATATGAATATTGAATACTTAACGAATACATTAATAAGTAATAACTAGTACATATATAACTGTATATTGTAAATGTGCCCTAGCTGGATGCAAATATACTGTAAAACAGAAATACATGCAAAATAATGTCAGGCAATATTGAAAGTAACTTTGCTTTAATTTGATTTGGACATATATATTCACATGTGCATAGAATATATAATAATATTAATCATATTTTTATTTATCTCTAATTCTTATTTTGCAAAGGTTGACTGTTACAAGAAACGTTCCTGCCATCAAAATTGTTTTATCTAAGACTCCACTTGATGAGAATGAACCAGGGTAGGTGGCATGACTATGGAAAGCCAAATGTTACTTTATGGGTAAATATTAACTGGACTCTGTAGCTCGGAATCACAGGGCCGCAGGTTTGATTCCTGCCAGGGACCTACAGTGTAGTTGCATTTTTGCATTTTTGCAACTATTCCTGGTTGGGTCTACATAATACAGTAAATGTATACAAAACTTTCACTCGCCAAACCTTTCAACAAATATTACTTTACTTTAAATATTACCTTTTGTTGTTTGTTGTTGTTGCTCTTTTTTTAGTTGCTACTTTTGTTGTTTTCATTGTTGCTTAATTTGATTGCCGTTTACTGCTGGAGCTGCTCTTTTGGTCTTTCTTTTGCTTTTGTTGTTGTCGTTTTTGTCAGAAACACATTAGCCTACCAGGCAATGCCGCGGTTGCCCCTCCCCATTTTCAACAGTTGTATAGCCCCTTGAAATTTGGTAAGAAATTAACAAATAGATAAGATTTTGCCGTTGTCTATTCAGTTATGGATACACAGTATGACGTCATAATGTGGGAAGAACAAAAAAGTGGCCCACGAGCCGCCGTGGCGAGTGACTCAGTTTTTTGCAAATCCCACATGATGTCATACTGTGTATCTATAACTGAACAGACAACGGCAAAATCTTATCTAGTTTATATTATATCCGAATTAAACAGGCAATAACTTTTTATCCACCCAAACATTTGGAATTTGAAAAAGTCGAAATTTTACAAATATCACGCGAGTAGTATACAGAGTGGGGATAACTCCTCTCGTCCTTACACTCGTAGTAGTCAGTATTCACCTTAATAACCATAAAGTTTATTCATTAACGCTGTATCTTATGAATAGTTGTGTTTCAAATAAAGCGGTGATCAGGTGTTTTTAGATAGTATGAACATGAAAAATATTGAAAACAGAGCAAGTCGAGTTTAACCATAATCTTGAGGGATGAGAATAGATGCTGTGGCTTGGATGCATGGATAAATAAATAAAAACACAGACATAGTTTAACGTTTGTAAATTAATTGTAACAGTATATTTTTAAAGTATAACGATTATTTACACAAATAAACAGTTCTTAAACATATTGTCCACCTTTTACACTGTTTTCTAGTTCGGATCGTTTATCCTTGTACACTCTTCCATCTTCCGTTAGTATAAGTTTGCGTTTCTGTCCTTTACATGCAGTATGCTCTACAGGTTTGACATCCACTGTTTTATACTTTACGTTTATTGTTGGCCGGCAATAGACCAATAGTACCTTGTCGTAGTAGTGTGCACGCGCACAAATTAAAAAGTTAACCATTTATTGTGGTCTTTCTTCGTTTCTCCATCTTACTGGTCTGTCCTGACTTTAATCTTGCATCTCGTAAGTAAACATTAAAGTTTCTCTCCATCTCTTCTTGTCGCTTAAATATATTTTCCATACTCTCCTCCATATTGAATTCCTTTGGTTCTTCGCTCTGTCGAGGTGCACATATTCCTATTTTACTCGAATTTAACCATTTCTTGCGTTCTTCTGTTGACATTCCATGTACTTGATCGAGATGATTTGCTAACCTTGTTAGATTTTTACAAACACCGGACAGTTCATACGTGTGCGACCCATACTTAGATATTTGCTTAACGAATTTCTAACAATAATTGGCTCATTTTTTCGTGTGTTAGATATTTTAGTAGGCCCGGTTTGGCCTTATATGGCACTATATGGCCCGATTCCTGACCAGACGTTCTAATCTGGGCAAGCCCGGACTTGGCACGCTCCGTTATTGTGACTATATTCCACAAATTGTATCTATATTCCACAAAGCCCAGCTAATACCTCGGAGCCTAGCTCAAAATATCGAGCTTAGCTCGGAGCCTAGTCCAAATAGCTTGGCTCCCACCTGGAGTCTTAATAGTCATGACTATAGTCTTAATAGTCATGACTATAGCCTTAATAGTCATGACCATAGTCTTAATAGTCATGACCATAGTCTTAATAGTCATGACCATAGTCTAAATAGTCATGACCATAGCCTTAATAGTCATGACCATAGTCTTAATAGTCGTGACCATAGTCTTAATAGTCATGACCATAGTCTTAATAGTCATGACCATAGTCTTAATAGTCATGACTATAGTCATAATAGTTATGACTATAGTCTTAATAGTCATGACTGTAGTCTCAATAGTCAGGACTATAGTCTTAATAGTCATGACCATAGTCTTAATAGTCATGACTGTAGTCTCAATAGTCAGGACTATAATAGTCTTAATAGTCAGGACTATTTAACAGTTATTCTACGAACTCGAGTCGAATATGAGCTGATAGCCGATGAGGCGCGTAGCGCCGAATCGGCTATCGCTCATACTCGACGAGAGTGAGTGGAATAACTGTTTTATTATATACACAAGGTCTGAATTTACAGACTTTGCTTTTCGAATATTTTCAATATTTTTCTATTTTGTTTATGTTTTTATCTTCGCTCTTTCGGCCGATTATTTTGCAAAAATATATATTTTTAACCATTTTAAATATTAAAAATTTATTTGCTAACCTGAAAACAATTTGCGGGAGTTTTTTCATTGTGTTTTTAATCCTGTGAAGGCTATAAAAAGCGACAACTTGCCGTTTTCTCGTTTGCAAAACATCGTAAATTCAGTTTGGCCGCCATTTTGTTTTTCTCTACTAGCAGGATATGAGCTAATATCCTGCTAGTAGAGAACCAATCAGATTGCAGAATACCTCATATCCAGACCTTGTGTATATAATAAAATCTTGATAGTCATGACTATAGTCTTAATAGTCATGACTGTAGTCTTAATAGTCATGACTATAGTCTTGATAGTCAAGACTATAGTCTTAATAGTTGACCTGTATCTAAGGACGAAAGCATTAATATCATTATCGAGATGTAAGCATAAGCAGAATCGCTAATTCCTACTGGTTGCCGCTTTTGAATTTGCATGCTTATGCAAAATACTTGGTTGTTATTGGTTGTGACTGAACGGGACTAAAGCCTGAATAAATTGAATATGGATACATGCATGTCTTTTGTGCATCATGTTAATTCGGGTGTTTCAAACTTATAGCTCGATCGATCGTAGTGAATAGTTATACTCATATCCGCAAATAGTTCTCGTGGCAAGATTCGAAGAGAAGATGCCGGTTCCCCTCGCTCTTCTCAGATATAGAAGGAAGTGTGACTGAATGACTTCATGTATACAGTTTATTAGTTGATGTTTTGCAGACCTCGATCAGTAATCAGGTAACAAGGGAATTCATACATGTCGTAAATCCGCAATATTCTTTATATGAATAGGCAATGTATAATAAGGAAGTGGAAAAATTTCAACTATCACAATCATTTGCATTTAATAATTCCTTTACCGGCTATAATACTGCCATTGGATTGCATAGTTAATTATTATTTAAGTCCCAAAGTCACAGTAACGGTGTACTATTTGTGGACTAGCTGGCAATAATGGAATCTGCCTTAAAATATATGTCAATAGGAGATTTTTGCACTTAATTTAAACGACTCTAAAAGGAAACGCAGTTGTGTTTCTGTTATTTTCTGTTTGGTTGCAAATGCACGCGATTTACCAATGTAGTCGTTCACACGACTATGACAGCCCCCCCCCCCCCCATGTAGGTATAACTATTCAATACATGCATGTAACGTTGTGTAATTTCCCCATGTATAATACCTAGTGAAACCCACCTATAATAACAGATTGTGCAATTGAATGCATAAACAGGCATGCCGTACGGAACAGTGATGGCAAACACAATCGGGCAAGACACTATACTGTTTCAAGTTATGCTATATTTTGTTATACTCCGGTTAGATACTTGTTTTCTGTGCACCTATTATTGTGAATAGGTTTTTGGATCGTTGGATTTCTCAGAAAAAGTTGGTCGGATTTCGAATCTGGCGAATATTTTACACGGATTTTCGGATCTTATTAATACAGCGGATTGCGGATTTATCTAGTATTTTGGCTCGGATTTTGGATTTAGCATGCAATTTAGTTCGGACCCTGGATTGTGACTTCATAGTAGAGCTTTTAGCGGATTCAAATTTAGACAAGACCATTGTCGGATCGCGGATTTTGCTTCAAATTTGGACGGATCGGCGGATTTGTATACCCCTATTCACTATAATATCGGCCCGGGAATGGAATTTGCAGAGGCAAGCAATAATTTGATTTTCGTCCATATCATAACAAATAACTGCACACATAAGTTGCTTTATAGGTCGCTTTAGGTCTCATTAGCATATATTCACTAACATAACCAATCTGATCTTGGATTTTGACGAAAGAACATGGCATAAATAAATATAAGTCCGCTTTCGTCCTTAGATGCAGGTCAACTAATAGTCATGACTATAGCCTTAATAGTCATGACTACAGTCTTAATAATTATGACTATAGCCTTAATAGTCATGACTATAGTTTTAATAGCCATGACTATAATCTTGATAGTCATGACTATTTAACAATTAGACAACGAAGCCGAGTTGTCTATGAGTGAATAGTCAACGAGGCGAAGCCGAGTTGACTATTCGCTCAGAGGCAACGAGGCTGAGTTGTCTAATTGTTTTAGTATAAACCACATGAAGAAAAGTATGTAAAATAATAACTTTTTAACGAAATGAGCGTTTAAATGGCTTCCTTTGGCGACATTTCGCCTCGGCCTTGTTGACAACTACTCAGTGTTGCGAACTCCCAAGAATGACTTGAAACATAATACTTGTGAGTTTTAAAAAAGTTAAAAAATATGTCGAAAAACAGTGTAAGGGGTCGTTATACCAGCAAAGTTTGGCTAATTAAAAGAAGGAAATAAGGCTTAAAAAGTCCAAAATTTCGAACACAAAATGGCTTCCCGAATTGTTACTAAATAAAGTTTACGTTAAAAAGCCGAATAAAAATGGACGCAAAAGAATCCGAATGTCGTTAAAATCTTTAAAATATCTGGAAAATAAAGAGGGAAACCATTTCAATCCTCTAGTATACATAGACAAAAGTTTAGATTTAAAAAGCTAAAAATAGTCCAGGACCTGTATATGAGTTTGTATGCATTTCATTTAGGACAGATAATCTCAACTGTTTTAGGGCAAGTTGACCATGACGGTC